GTAACACCAAAGAAATAACTTATCAAAGTAGTCAAAATTATCATTGGCAAATTTTTGGGGTGCACACAAAACAGTCCTATAGAATAATCACCTATTGGTAATTTCAGTAATTTTTCAATAATTTTGCTAAACAAATTGCTATATCTCCAAAAAATTTCTAACAACCATGCTTGTAGTTTATGTTGATTGACTGTCTACCATCTCAAAAATTTCTGACATTATATTATCATTTATTTTAGACAGCGTTTCCACAAAAAAATTGTTCATCTTTGGTAATTTTGACAAATCACAGTTTAAGATCAGGTGTTAAAACAAACATATTTGTTTGCTAAGTAAAAAAGTTATGTGTCAAATGAAATCCAAGAAAGCTATGTTATGGGTAGGGTTAGGATTAAAACAATATGGCATCTATTAGTAAAATGTCACAAGAAATATTTTTAATTAGGCCGCAGAATATTTTTTTGTAAAAAGTGGGTTTGTTTTAATTTTTACATTACAACTAGTGATACAGGCTAACCCCAGCCTATTGGCCAGGTGAGCAGGCCAAGGATCGACCAACACCTTCACTGGGTGAGCAGGCCGACTAAGATAATTTATATAAGTTGCCAGAATTTTTGGCTAAGTTATTCAAATTAGATTGAAATTAATTATAGATTTGGGCATTATTAAGTCAGAATTAAAGAAAAAAAAGACACTCCTAGCTCTTTTACAAAAAATTGTTCATCCCTGTTATTTTGGCCAATCAAATTTTAGGATCAGATGTAATGTAAAATCGAAACAAAAACATTTTTTACAAAATTTTAATTAGAAAACTGCCTTCTGCAGCCTAATTAAAAATATTTCTCATGCTGTTTTACTAATAACATCATAATTTTCTAATTCTAACTTTAACCCAGTTTTCTTGGTTTTCATTTTACACATAACTTTTTTATTTGAAAAACAAAACACATTTGTTTTGATACCTGATCTAAATTTTGTTTGATCAAAATTACTAGGAATGAACAATTTTTAGATTTTGAGATGGGAGGCACCAATAATTGTAAAAAGATATAAGATACCTACCTTTTTGCTTAAATAAAGATCAACTCAGGGAGTTCGAAAAGTGTTTTCTAAATAATAATAACTCCAAGAAGTTCAAAGATACAAGTTAAAGAAATTAGAGTATTTAACTTGTAATTTACTTTTATAAAGAAGAACTCAATGAGTTTAAAAAGGTATCTTAAGAATAAAGATAACCCTTTGAGTCCCAAAACCTTCGAAATTAGAGTAGAAGTATTGAATTCTACTAATTCCCCAATAAGTAAAATCTGTAATAACTATTAGAATTCATAACCAAATCCTGTGATTCTGAATAAAAAGCTTCGTGACATAATTCAGAGCTCTAGCTGATACTATTACTAAGACTCAATTCACCCTAGTTACTCAGACCAAGTCTTTCTATGTCTCAATCGTTGCCTTACCAATATTAGAGTTTAGTTGTACTAGTTGTAGTGCTCTAGTTAGAGTAGTTTAGTTAGTTTTAGTAGTGTGTGGTTGTATTACCTAGACCTAGTACATTTTTCATACTTTTACACCATCCTGCCTGTGAAGGTGTGAGGCCCACCCGGCTGATAGGCTGGGATTAGACTATATCACTACTGTGTTTCCTCTAAAATGCTAACACGAATAGCTTTATGAAGTCTTCCATATTTGAATATCTGGTTGCAACATAGTCTTGAATTTTTAGAGTACCTAAACATTTTTTATAAATAATTTATCTCAAACTTTTATTTTCTGTTGATTAATAAAGAAAAATATGAGATCAAAAACTCATAATGATAAATGCTGATGATAAAGATGAAAAAAATATACTTTTATAATAACATGTGTATGAATAATATAATTTTTGATTTTATATTTTCTCTTCAGATGTCCTTTATGTTCGGTCATTTTCTTTTTAGAAATTTTTAAACCATTTGTATTCCTATTCTTAATTCTGCTTGACATTATGTACTTTGACCTAAATTATATATATTTTAATTTTTTTATATAAAATTTAGATAGAATAAAATGTGTATGATTCGGAATCATGCACATAAAACCTATCTCTATTTAAAACATAAAGAACATTAATATATAAGAGTGTTTAAAATATTTTATACATATATGTATAGAAATTACTTCAGGTTCTAATGAGTCTTATTATAATAAGCTCTGAATATAATAAACAATAGACCTTTAAATATTATATTTATTCAGTATAAAAGGTATGGTAGGTATTTAAAAAATATTTTTTGTTAAAGTGAAAAGCAATACTAATAATTTTAAAAATGAACCTTACTTAGAGGTAAGATAATAATCATATACTTAGTTTGTTTTTTATTGGTTACTACCAAAGCTTATGTAGTTACATTATTCATATGATTTTACATGTAATTACATGTGATTTGACTATTATATGCTTTTTCATGTATATACATATATATACTACCCTCCTCTTTGAATGAAACTCTAGACTGTTTTTTCTTGGTATATTCAAGCTAATACTCTCTTTATATCTAATATTGATAATAATGAGATTGACAATAAACAACAAGATGTTATTAATCTTTTGCATAATAAAATTAGCAACAATGAACATGATGACAATTTCAAAGTCTAGAGTTACACCTGGCTTCCATCTGAAGAGATGCTTAAACTCTCTACAAAAATTTTTAAAGACAATACACTCCCCTTGATGAGAGACAAGTTATATTGCAATCTCACTCTATAACAAGAATATATGATTTTAACCACCCATGATGGACAAGGACTTATAGAAGTTCATGTTAAAAAATATAAAAGACAATGATAAATTATTATCAAAAATTTTTTACTACTTTTCTGCAGTATTATATCTGTTAGATAACTTACTACACTTATTGTATAACACCAAACCTGATAATAATGAACTCCAAGATATTATCGATATATGGAAAACTACCTTACTGGATATTAGAAATCTCTTACTTAATGGTCTCTCTTTTGCGAATGATATTTGATGAGACTAGGCTATTAAATGTATTTTTCTATCTTATCAAGCTTCTGCCAAACAGGAGGAGGTATTCAGCCCCACAAATCTTAAAGAAATCCTTGAAAAAGAGAATGCCAAAAACAAACTAGTTAGTAATGCATTGTAGTATTAGAGGTAGAGATAGGAATCGGCTATATGATTTAGTCGACTAAATCAACTAAACATAGTAATTTCCATATAAATTTTTTAGTCGACTAAATCGATTCCTATCTCTAATCAGAGGAAACCTGAACCCAACACAAAGTTCATGCCTTATGAAAGAGAAAACAATACTTCCCAATTTAGATATCATAAGCAAGGCTTCTCATACTCTTTTTTTAGAAAAAACAACAGGTCCACAAATAAGTACTCCTTGAGAGCAAGACAAATACAGAATTGAACTCAAAACCAACAATAAAGACCCAGAATCTATGTGGTTTACAATATTACATAGATACCTAGAAGAAGATTTTTGAAGAATCATAGGTCACTAATGTAATTTGCAATAGTTATTCTTCCTAATGGTCATATCAACCAAAACACCTAATTTAACCAATATCTTATTTTATCCAAAACAAAGATATAAGCAGAGAAATTACAGAATATTTGAAAATAGGAGTCATAAAAAGGATACCAGAATCAATTCCATATTACCTATCAAAAATATATCAATATTTCAAAATGAAAAACATAAAAACTATCAAATTTATGCTCTTCTCAGATCATTATATGGTTTCGATAAACATCAAGAATATTTTTTTTCATATTCTGATCGCAGAAGAGGATCAGACATACTTCATATTCGATTATAACAGAGAATGCTTTACATTTACTGTACTACCATTTGGTCTCTATGCTAGCCCCAGAACCTTTACAAAGGTCTTGTGTCCTATTATAAAGAAACTAAGATTACAAGATATATGTATAGTAGCTTATTTAAATAATTTAATTATTATCACAAAATCAAAGGTAGAGGCATTAAATTATCAAAGAATTATAATCAAGCTTCTGCAATTGTTGGGATTTACTATAAACTAGAAAAAATCTTTATTAGAATCTCAAAGAAAGCGAATTACTTGGGTTTTACTATCAACACATCCAAAATGATGATAGCTCTCCCACATACCAAGGTAAAGAAAGTAATAAAAGAATACAAAATGCTTCTCAAGAAAGACAGAATACATATATGCAAATTGGCTTTGATAATTGGAAAATTGGTAGCAACAATAAATGCAGTCTTCTCAGCATAACTCAAAACCAGGGCATTAATTTGAGACAAGAATATAGCTCTCAAAATACAGGAATAGAACACAACCCTTACTCTATCAACAGAAAGCAGGAAACAACTCATGTGGTGAATCCAAAATCTACAAACATAGAATAGAAAATCAGTGATTTAGTCTCACCTAGATCTGACAATTTATACAGATGCCTCTCGCAGTAGTTGTGAAGTAGTTCTGAAAAACTTTTTTATTTCAGGAAGATAGTCATTACAAGAGCGTCAACTACATATAAATGTCTTGGAAGCCTAACAGTACTGCAGGTACTGAAAAGAATAAAGAACTCTTCAAAGAAATATGTAAGGATAATATCTAACAATATAATAATAGTTACCTATCTAAACAACCAAGGAGACACTATCTTCCCAATAGTTAGCAAAATTATTGAGTCAATTTGGGAATACATTTTAAAAAAATCAATAAAAATAACTGCGATACATATCTCAAAAAAGGACAATATACTCGCAGACAAGGTATCCAGATGCTTTAAAAACAGACATAATTAGAAGATTCATCCCTATTCTTTCAAAAAATCTAACAGCTTTGGGCCTATCTCAAGTAGATCTCTTTGCCAATACAGACAACACGAAACTACCAAGATTTTTTTTCTGAACAAACGAAGTGAACTCAGAACAAATAGATGCCTTTCACATGAAGTAGATCTATATATCAGGTTATACTAACTCACTATGGGTAATGATGAACAAAGTAATTGCGAAAACTATTCAGAACAGGACAAAAGTAATACTGATTTACTCTCAATAGACATCAGCTCTATAGTATTTCCTGTTAACCAAGATAATGGTATTCAGACCCATAACAGTCTTCAAGTAGGCAATCTTACTAGGCAAATGCTTCCAGATATACCCAATAAAGAATATGTTAAGAGAAATTTGTGCAGTACCTATTTCAGAGAATTGTTACAAAATCAAGGACTATCAGAAGAAGTAGTTGACTTAACAATAGGAATATTGGATCAATCAGCATCTACTACAGTATTCTCAAACTTAAAGATATAGGTAAATTGGTACAATTCACAGAGTATAGACCCAAAAAGTTGCTGAATATTTAAAATAGCTAAATTCCTAAATGTTTAGAATACATTAAGTAAATCTTATAATACTATTGTATGCTACAGATCTGCTATAAGCAAGATCTACAGACAAAAAGACAATACCCATATTGGTTCATATTTCACTATCAGAAAGATAATTAGAGCTATATGGAAAAATAACCTACCACCAGAGCCTTTAGATGACATTTCAAATATCACTTCTTCTTTTGATGCTATTATAGCTTGAGGAAAGAATGAAGATTTATCTCTTCTAAAGCTAAATAAAAAAACTAGCTTCCTATTAGCAATAACTACGGAATCACGGTCCTCAGATCTTAGTAGACTTGACTTATCTTCAATGACTCAATCTCGTGAAGGCATAAGCTTGAAATATATCATGCCTAAGGAAGCAAAATATTCATATCAAAAAGAGACTATAAATGCTCAAAAATAGTGTTTGTTGATAAATATGAGGAGGAACCTTTTCTATGCCCCTGGTAAGTACCGACTACTTTAATTTCCAAACTCACAAAATTCAGAGATTTGCAAGAAACTTTAAATAACATTTTTCTGAGCTCCACTTCTGGTAGACCAGCAGCAGTTAACACAATTTCTAGATAGATAAAAGAGATATTACTATTTTCAGACCCATCTTTCATAGCCAAAGATACACAAGTTCTAGCAGCCTTTTTTACCCAAAATGCAGAATCAGAATTGTTAGCCATTTTAGCATTAGAAAACTGGTCAAGCAACGAAGTTTATCAGAAATTTTACTAATAAGGCATTAGGCTAATGCTTGACCAAAATAACTTACTGATATCTATAATGAACAAAGCCAGAAAAGTACAAAGAAAATCTGATGAACTCCACACAAGCACATGATTATTATCTTACCTCCAAGTGAGGTTCATGTTTATGATCAAGCAAAGCAAAAATCATTTCAAAATAGACAAACAAAGGAGGTAAGATAATAATCATATAAACCTACCTTCCCTCCCTCTTTCACACAAGGACTTTATCAGAATACTCTTACTTAGACATTTATAACAATGTTTCAAAAATTAATTAGATTTATTAAACAATAGTATATATAGCATAGAAGTATTGCACAAATAGAATAAGTAGATTACAGATATTTATAATAATTAATGCAAAAAAAAAAAAACAGTCTAGAGTTTCATTCAAAGAAGAGGGTAGTATATATACGTACGTACATGAAAAAGCATATAATAGTCAAATCATATATAATCACGTGTAAAATCACATGAATGATGTAACTACATAAGCTTGGGGCACATAGAAAATGTGTACCGGGTTGGGATCGGGTGATCGTCCGGAAAAATAGGTCGGAATAATAAGAATATTCGGAACTAG